CAGTCTAGTTATTGTTCACTCATCATTATCCATGCAAATTGGAGTGACAAATCTTCTCGAGTTTTGAGACTTAGAAGGTCCCAGCTCAGAAAAATATGCCTTTCACTCTTGGGAACAACTCATGCGAAATTCTGCCTCAAAAAAATCAATTTACTAAGTAACTAGGTCATAATAAGTAACTGGGTTTTTTGTCTGAGGAGCCATTGTGCGGAATTTTTAGATTTGGCGATCTCCAAGGTCCCACTTCTCGAAACGATGCCAAATGACCCAAAAACAATCTCTCTAAAAATGAATTCAAAAGGTCAGTCTGAAAGGTTGCTGCGTCAAATTGTTTGCTTGCCTAAGGCGCCTAAGTGCACAATATACATGACGCGATCTTTCAGTCTGATTTTTTCCGCAGAGCTTCTATAGTTGTTTCTCCCGATCAAAAAGACACAGTTTGTAGGGTGAAAGCAAGAAACTTTGAAAATCCGAAAATCATGCACTGTGGCACAGTATGCGAAAAACAATTTGACCCAGCCACCTTCCGAGGCAATTTTTTAAGCAAAGTTTCACACACTTCGTTTTCAGAACAACAAAAGACTTTTTTTTTTCTAACATTTCTTAAGAGATTTTTTCTCGATTCAACATTTCGTCACCCTAATGGACATGTTTATGCATAATCAATCCATTGTTGGTGCTAATTTTTATGGAAGAAAATATTTTTCAACTTATGACTCACTCATTACACACTACAATTACTGGAGGCATAAAATGGAAGATGATGAGCAAGTGATTCTTGATCAAAGTCGGTTTCTCGTTTGAAATCTATGAAGCAGTCGGACATAAATATGAGAAAGTGAAACTGCCGTATAGCAGAAATGGAGAAAAATGATCACATTCACTGCACAATACAACGAGATTCAACATCGATTGACATTGCTTTCGTTACTGTACTTGGCCTATGGATCTGAGGTCTTCCAACTTACTAATCCAGTAGTAAGTGTGCTTCTACAAATCCCTTATTCGAACTTCATCAATAACTGAGAATAAACCAAATAAATGAAAGCAAAATTTCAAGAATATTATTCTTCTGCTGAAGGACTTCTCGATAGATTGTTGCGTTACAATCTTTTCGACAAGTTTGCGAAAACGCTTCGGATGAGTAATCGTTAATTCTTATCTAGGTATGTGTAACAAATTGCATATCAGTTCATAAATAATGAAGTGAGAAGGATGTGGTTACATTATGACGCAAGTGTACATGAGGCCTCTAAATAATTACGTTTGAATACAAATTCACTGAATAAGATTCTCCATATGTTCCCAAAATTCCAGAATCCTTCTCGACCACTCAGCCACACTCTTCAACTTTTATTACAACACACTGCTCTGTTCAATACGTGCCTTGGCCGTCGAAGCATTTATTGCTGGTAAGTGTTATGGTTTCACCTCGGCTCAAATGTGATTCTCCGTGAATTGCATACCAGCAGTTTATAAGTATCATTGTCTTAGAAGTGCAATTCACAATCGAAGATAATGAAGTATATGTCTGAACTTCTGAATGTGTATTTCAGCAGTCTCCATACGTTTGATTTGCAATCTCCATATATTTGAATCGCTATTGCTTATGACTAAGAATAACCATTTTTAAGCTCTAAAATTGCTCAACGTTTAACAACTGTCTTGTAATTTTTCAGTTTTACCAAATGGATTAATTTGCATATTATAGACATTTTCGACTGCAGATAAAATCTTCGAGCGCAGTACTTGTAGGTATGTCTGTTCAATATGAAGACACAGACAGCACCATCTTTAAGGCCCTATTGTGCTCAGTTGGTAACAACAAAGCTCAGTACTTCGACAATACTTCCTGCTAAATATTACTCGGAAGAGGACACGTATTATTTTCTTCGAGCAGCTATATTCATGCATCCATGTTGCGCACAAAACATCTTCTCATTTTACATTATTTTATTCGAAGGTTTTGACAATATTACGCAACGAACAACATTAACAAGCCGAGCAGAAAGGTGAGTGAATAATGTGTATCAATTGCATTTGAAGGCATGGATTGTGTAGAATGTTTATTGGAAGCAGTTGTTGAAGGAGGAACTACAACCTGCAAAATATAGAGTGAATGACAACGAGTGTAATAACTTCTCTAAATCACAAACAAGTTATTCACAAGTTGAAACTGATGATAACGTATTCATCAAAAAATATCTTTGAGTGATAGCCGTGGAAAACTGTTCGAGTTCGTTATAAAGAAAAATTAACTTCAGTGTTTTCATCTATTGTTGCCTCAGGGTTTAATGATAACACTGTTTGAGACAAGGAATATTCGGCACCTAAAGACAAAGTTTACTTTTGGATGAAAATTGATGACTGAGCTCCACTGAGTATGGAATCTTCCATCTGAATTAAAATTTCAACCTTTGATGACGTGGTAATCAGAGAAGAAGGATCGGCCGTAGTAGTTGTTTTCTTCAAGTTAGGCTGTACTGTTTTATTTGCCGATGGAGTTGTATTTGTAGACGTTGGTGGCTTAGCTGAAGTAGCAGTAGTCAAAGATGATTTTGTAGTAATGTGAAATTTAGAAGATGAAGTGTGGGTTGTTAGCTTAGTCACCACAGCTACAACTTCAAAAATTATTTTCCTTTATTCGTTTTCGAACTAATCGTAAATTACGCCTGAATTTCTATCGATTTAATCCTAGAAACTGATTTTTCATATTCCCGAACGACTAATCTTCCGTTCGAAGTCAGTTGATGTGTGAAAGTGATCGCTTAAATGATCGTTCCACGATTATGGCATCACATTCAGATGGTATCGATCAGCCTATCAATTAATTGAAAAAATTTTTTTAATGCTCCGTAAAAGTTTCTACGCTCATGAAATGTTTACAAATTTAAAAGAACTTGTGAAAAAGGAGCATACGGATGCATAAACCGCAAGCTTCGGGACAGTCCTGTTGCATGAAACTGAACAAGGAGCACGTAACCGGGGAAATAGTAAATAGACAAAAGTGACTGTCGGGCTTAGTACAGGAAGTCTTTTCTGAAAAAAATGTATTAATGGAATCCCACAGGAAACAATTCCTTGAAAAACTGGTATTACTGAAGGAATCGAACTTCAAAATGACACTTGCTGAGCATTCATGAAATTGGTGCTAATGCTTGTGGAATGAAGCTGTTCGTGCCAGGTCTCACAAACATTGATCACTGCACGTAATCAGATGATATGATGACAACACTGACCATACCGATTTTATTTTGAAGTCGGCGTTAGCATAATATCCGCAAATAAACGCTATGTTTTATGTGATCATATCGCCTCTATTTTCACGCAGCTCAATCCTGATATAAATAGTTTCAGTTTGTCATCAGGATGAGACTGTGTATCACTAATGAACCGAAAGTATCATCGCACTTAATTTTTGAATATTGGATAATGCTGGAGTGAATATTTGTTTTTTATTAAAACTACTGGCTCAGTTGGTGCTAAAACGTTTGTTGCAGCCCAATGAAGATTTACTTGATTCTCATCAGTTACTTGCAGATTGCTGAAAGGAGGGATAATGAAAATCGTACCGGTTCCATCAGCACTACCATAAAGTGTTGCCAAAATAAGGACTACAAGTGCTACAAAGCGATACATTTTCGCGAATACTGAAAATACGATCTCTTTAAAAACATGAGAAGTTCTGCAATTGTTGTTTAGGTTACAGATGAACAGATTGCTGGAGAACAAATCTTTTCAATGGATGATCAAGATTACTATCTGTCCTCATTTGCTCTCATTCTCAGCAAGTTTGCCTAACAGTGAACTACTGACGGCACTTAATTTTCCCGTTGCATAATGCATGTATAAAACAGTAAAATTAAATAAGTTCACCGAATGACTCACCTTCTATCCAACGGCGTATTAAATAAATTCTCCGATTTCTGATCAAAAACACACGTCTCAGAGTGATGGATTTCAGTATAAATGGAAATCGGCTTATAAATCGATCAATTCACATCACTTTAATTCCTGCCAACTCATATATTTGCTTTTGTGCAGCTGTGTTCACGAATATCGACACGACCACACAAATACACCCATTCAGAACAGAAACTTTTGACGTAGATTTACGGAGAGATTATTATTACACTCATTCAATCGATGCATTTAGGGACATAGATTTCAACAAAACGTCTTTTTTGATATACCATATTATAAAGTTGGTATTTTAAAAAAAAGAACTAATTACAAATCGCAACTTTTCGCTCACATATTGATCTTATAAAACCATATAGGGTATCACCAATAAATATTTGTTGAAACTTTAAGCCGTGAAATTTTGCTTTCCAAAGGAAGTGGAATGTTGGCCCATTTTAGAGTTGTAGTATTTCATCATTTGACTCTCATCAGATAGAGCTGAAAGATTCTCTGATGTAACACACATCTTATACTATTAAATCAACACAGGCAAAGTTAATTATTGTCGTTGCACGAATCTCGTAAATTTTCATTGCAAAGACATCATGAGCCCATCGAATTTTGACAGCTGTAGCATTTTCAATACCTTTTTCAATTCCAAGGTATAATCTGGCTTAGTCATTGCTTATCGAGTTTCGCTGATTCATAATCACAAGTTCTCGGAAAGTACGCAGAGGGAAAATATGACGTGATCATTTTTTGAAAATATTCCATTTTCATCGTACCTTTTTTATATTTCAGGGTATTAGAAGGAGCACTGCCTGTACTGAATTATATTCATCTACTGAATTAAACTGAATTATATTCATCTACTGAAATAAATACTGAACAGTGCCTATGAACCATTTCAAGCCGATCAGCTAGCAATCAACAGCGATGTTATGGAAGATTAAAATGGTAATTTGATGACATATTTTCAAAGTTTTATCAACACTTCGGGATTATGCATATTACTGTACAAACGATCACAGCCATGTGCATGATTTGATATGGATATTTGTCTTAATAGCTTCCATTTGCTGTATCAAAGGAATATTTATTGTTGCGAATGTAAACGAGTCAAAGCCTGTCAGCAGCTAGACGCTGTTGTAAATGATGACGAGCAGGTAGAGCGATACACTTGAGCAATAATTCCGCAAATTCACCAAGTGTTAGAAACGACATTCCAACATATAAACCAAGAGTACCACCAATGGTGGAAAGAAGCATCCATACGTCTTGTGCTGGCGATTCAACAACTGATTCGTAGTTCAATTCCTGCAGTATTTGAGCTGATGGATAGTTTTGGTAAATGCAGCAAAATGATTAAGAAGAGATTAACAATTAACGAAACTTGAGATATTCATTTTGTCGTTTACGACGCAGTATTACTCAACAGCAAAACGTATGATATTCCCGTAAATCCGTTTCATATTCTCCCCCTCTTGAACTTACTTCGAAATAAACTTCAAGTTTGGCTAGATTCGTTCTTGCTTCATGTGCTTCTTGCATTGTTTCCATTGAAGGTATTTGGTTCTTCCACGAGTCTTTTATACGATCGTAATAACTGGCCCTTGGCCAGAGTGACGTCGTGATTCTTGCAGAGTAGGCTTGTTCATGGCACGATTGTGGGCATTCCCGTTCACAAACACCGCTTTTCGTTGTATTGCCCATCGACTGTAATTGATGAAAGCCTATTCAGTTTACAGTTACTCTGATCTTGTTGAGATTGCAAAGGGTAGTTCTGAGCAAGAAATGCTCAAGAAAATTTGAAAGTGACTAAAATAATATGCAACAATGTTTTGGCCGACTGAAAAATAACTTCAGAATGATTTGTGTTGTTGAAAGAGAGTCAAATAAATTACCTTTCTCACACATTTCAGCGACTGTTCGAGAACAACATCGCACGCAGATGGTTGCAGTCTCTCATCGAGGAAGAACTCTCGAATGTCTTCGCGAGTAACAAAACTCGGATCTACACAACCGCAATCCTTAATTCATCAGTCATCCTCACGGAACAATCAAAAATGAATGTGATTTTGATTATTCATTTCAGAAGCAGAAACCGCACTATTTACCGATACTTCGAAAACCTCACATCAACAAGCCGTTTTTGATAACATGATTTCACGCATGCTTGTGTTGTGTAATTCACTGCATCGCGATAACCAGCATCCCACAGCACTTTGCTGTATCTGAAAACAAAATGAATTTTTCTGAAGTCCGGTTGAAGAACATACGGTATAAAGCTGCTAATTGCTTTATCTCTTAAAATGTCCGTCCTAACCAGGAATTGCTGATTCATGAATCAATGGTATACATACAGTTCGCCGAGTGTGAACGAAGTGACAGTTCGCTAAATGACGGAACTCACATTTTAACTTCAAGAGAAATGTAAATTTCTTACCCACTTAACGAAAATAAGTCCAAGCAATTTATGTACAGTTTTATAGCACAGATCCAGGAAAATAAGGCATGATGTATAGAGTGGTCATCAGTAAAGACATGTTCAAGATTTTCTATTCCGCTTGAAGTAAAAGAGTTCAAGAAATAATTTGAATTGTTACCCACTCGATAGAGAAAATTAATAACCACGATGTATACCAACTTGTAGGCGAGACTGATTACCCTAGAAACTTGCATTAAACTTTGACGCCAACTGTTAGGTTACGAGAGTTATGCCGCTTGGCATGACCAGTGGTGATGTTCACCTTATCGTTAGCAATTGGCGTCAATGTTTATTGCATTTTTGAAACTACTGAATCTCTGCTACAAAATGTACAACATTCTTCTCAGAAACTCTCGAACATGTCTATATTGGTAACCACTCATGTTTTATTTTATTGGATCTACACTACGCAACGATAGATAAATCGCCTCGATTTATTCCCGTCGAATGGGTAAGAAATTCACATTTCTGAACATCTCTCAAATAAAAATGCGGGTTCCGTCACTTGGCGAACTGTCAGCTTACCAAATAAATTAGGTTACGTATTAACGAAGTTTCACTTTCGAACATGTACATCGAACATTTCCATCTGGTTCAAAAGTTTTTGGAACTTTTGCCCAAATCAAACTCAGTGGAAATGGTGAGCAAGTTCAAAAAAAAACGCTTTGAATGTAAGTAATTTTTACCTTTTATAGTAAAGAGATGCGCTTTTCCTGAAACATTGATTTAGCTTACAATTAGTAAGAAAGTGAATTTGAAAATGAAGATTAGTCTCTTAGCACAGGGTTTCTCAACTGGGGGTGCGAGGTGGCATGCCAGGGGATGCGAAAGATGATGGGGTGAAGGAAGGTGCGAGAGTGGTGCGATGAGAGTGGGTGAGTGAGAGATGCGGGAAGGGATGCGAGGGCATCTTAAAATTTTCTAGGGGGCACGAGGGGCGAAAAAGGTTGAGAACCACTGTCTTAGCATATTTGTCGAATTGCGAAGGTAAACGGTGCGAGTGAACAATGTAAAATGACGCTAAAATTATTGATAGCAAAAAGTAGGTTTTGGCGAACAAACATGCATTCATGATGAAGATATGAATTGTTGGACTGAAAATTGTGTCCAGCATTGTTCAGTCACACTTATCGTTAATTTTGCCACTAATCAGGCCATTTCATCGGATGCTCTTGTGCACTACATAGTTATGTACAGCAATACAAAAACAACGCGTAGAATGGTTAGAGGTAGTACGGCATCTGGCCGGCTAACGAACGAACCATGAACTAGGCAGGTTAGTTTTCCCATGAAGATCACCGCAGTCTGTTCCATCGTACGGCAGTGGCATTCGTGAAATTCGCATTTGCTTAATCTGAATACGTTTTTGTGGTTTTTTTTTTTTCAACATTTCGCTGTAATTTTATTGTATTGTCACGGAATATGTCTATTAGTGATTAGTACAAATTGAATTACATATAAACTTACACCAACTGATGTCATCACTCCAGGTGATATTGTGAATCCTTTATCTTCAGGGAAAGGGACATATTCGGGAGGATGAACCTCTACCTGTAAGTGCACAAGTTTTGCAACAATCTCTTTGGGTCAACTTCCTTTTGCAGTTTTTTTCAGCTAGATCTATGCGAAAAATTGTAGTTCGATTGAAGGCAAAACCATGAAACTTAATTAATTCAATGAAAGATAGCTGAAGTCAGAATGTCACCTTGAAGCCAGACCCTTGAGAATGTCTGGCCAAATACTCTTTATCGGCAACATACAATGTAACCGAAAGACCATAAAGAGGCCCAACAAAACTACTGTAGTGATCATCCGCATCTGATACAATCATTGTGTAACAATTGCCATAAGTACCATGCTCCCACCTAGAATCTAAGGTTGGCCAATAAACTTTCGACATAAATTTTATTTCCCAGTATTCGGCAAATTTATACATACTGTAAAAACATCTATTAGTAAAGGCGATATCAATGAAAGTAACAAAAATTTAGTATTAAAATAAGGATAACTCGTTCAGTACAACATTATATGATGTGGAAACTGCATCAACGTGTAACAAACGCGCCTGGTAAAATTCTTCTCGGTACATTTTGTTGATTGAAACGTGCAGTCGAGCAGCATATCTTTGAGTTGATGCCCTGCTTCAGCCAAATTTACCTGGAAAGTGAATCTCTAAGCAGATTTTAGCAAGCAATTTTACGAACGGTTTCATCAACAGCTATGCCATATCTACTGAATTGGGTTTTTCGTGCGTTATGCACTTTAATTCTTTGACAAGAATTCGGTTAAAACTCTCGCACAGAACGTGAAGTTTAAATACCCAAAACACAAAAAATTCATCTGATTCATTCGTATAAAACCAAACAAAATGACTGTGCATAAAAATTTAAACATGTATGGGAGGTTGAATGATGTAATTAATAGTTATCATACATTTTTTTCGTATATTAAACGCAAGTGTTTATGAATGACCCTCATTTCTGGGGTTACATGATCTGCGTAACGATTACTTTCCATTGCCTCCTTCCACTGACGATCATCGAAGTTCATCAACTAAATAATTATCAAATAAGAAGTAAACAGTGGAGAGGATGTGCTGCAATTTGATCAAGTCGACATACTACACATGATAAAATTGAACGATGTAAAGGATAATTGAACGATCCATATTTACTAGTTTTGGTTGGAAATCCTTAAGAATATGTTTCAATTCCCTTTGTGATTCATATAAATAGTGATGTGTTGTCACACTAATATCGTCAGAAATGACACGACACGATGGAATCGTGCTATCTTTAGTGCAGTACGCTTCTGTGATCTCTTGTACTTATGAAAGAACAAGTTGTTTCTATAGGTTGAAGGAAGTAAGAAACAAACAGCATCGCTTTTCGTTAGTTCATCCAATAGAACCACTGAGAAGTTGCTGTTGATAAGCCAACTGGATCGAATTGGATTCAAGTTGCAGATTGTGACAGCTGGGAATGTTATATTTGTCATATGACGAATTTGCACAGAAACCGTTGTTTGATACAGAAAGTATCGCTGAATGGCTACCCAGATTTGATATCCACAAAGCATCCTTTAAGTCAAGATTAGATCGGTGGGATTAATGACAAATACAATAGAATACTCTAGAATAGCAGCTTTGAGAATCTCGTTCCGTTATACTTATGCCACTCTGATAAATTCGATGTGGAAAGATTGAAAATTTTGAAGCAGATGCAAATTCAAAAAATGTATGCGAGTATATATCATCTTCTCATGGAGGATCGTGCAGTTGCATTTCAATGATTTCGCAAAATGCTGAGCAGCTCACCATGCAAAACATACTGCTGCAATCCAAAAATAACGTTTCAAAACACTGCTCGATTTACTTACAAGCGCACACCCGTGAGCTGATGTTGTTTCAGCAAAGTCTTTCAGGATACGTTTCCGTTTCTCTTTTAGTACTCGTAAAGATAAATCCTGTGACAACTGAAACAAGCAGTCGATGAGATTGTGCAGTTTTTAAATAACGCATTATATTGCTTCAAGCAAAGGAACAAAACTCCATAAAAAGTTCTTTCCTCACAATGGATTGAAATGTGCACAATAAAAAGATCCTGATTTCATCAATTCAGCTCACTTGATATTAAAATGCAACTGAAAAATTTGAATTTAAAACGAAAATTCGCACTTTCAGTGCTATCAAACTATGATCTCATATCAAATAGTGAGTATATATATCTTTATCACAAAAACTATCACCTTGATAAGGATAAATTTCTTCCGAATTTTTTCATTTCACTGACTCATTTACCGATATTGCAACATACTAAACATAAAATTTGTTCATTATCGACTGTTGAATGATAAATATATATATACTCACTATTCAAAGTGGGTTTTATAATTGCCTTTTCATTATTATACTATGATCTCATATCAGATTCGTCCTCGAAGCTGATGTATATAAATGTTGAAAGTGACTAATCGAAATGAATGAGGAATGATGAATAAAACTGAACCGTTTTTTTGATCGTTGAGTCTGCTAGACTTTGTTGTTCACTCAACCTTCAAAACAAAAATAAAACCAACTGCAGTTGATTTTCGAATTTTGATGCATGCAAGATTCGTTTATTTCAAAAGATGAACAATTTCTCCTTAGACAAATCATGATTTCTAACTGAAGCTCAAGAACGAATGATGGAAAAGCTGCTGTGTAAGAAAATCGATTTTGACCAAAATTTTTCAAATCATCCAGTTATCGTGATCACCGCAGATGGGTAATAGCACACTATTTCGCTACTAGCGGAGTAGCTATTCCACTATTTCGCTAACTTCCACTAGTTAATGAAAGTTAACGAATAGCATGCTATTGTCCATCTCCGGTGGTCACCCAATCGTCATTACACATCTTATTCGAACAGCACTAACTCAAAATAGTGTTTTGCAATACCCAATCAAAAATTCAACAATAGAAGTTTACTCACTTTGCCTTCCTTTCATAGTATGTTGCTCTGCTCATTGTCAACGCTGAGGATTTGCAAATGAATGCTGCTGTTTCAGTTCAATGTAAACTCAAAAAAGCAATAGTGTGTGCGCCATATTGGTTTATATTAGATAAATTCGCGTAGCTAGTCAATTCATGTTCATTTATGTTGAACACATTCAAAAGCAACTATTTCGGTCAGGTAAAAAGAGGGGACCAAATGAGAGCGCAATTGGAACGACCGCATGAAATAGGATAGAATTGCCTTTAAGAAGAGAATATCGCATTGCGATGATTTCGAAATGAAATTTGAGAAATGATAAATTTGAACAAAATAAAACACTCAAATGCAATTAGTAGTGATTGTTGAGTTGAATGAAACGTACACAAAACAAAGGTATGCGATGAGAATAAGCCCTGATAGCACATTGAAAATAAGGTGATCGTACTGGTACTGTTATGAAACAGCTGTGTAGCCGTGTTCGATCCTCCAAGTGTGATGTGAAGTTATATCATGAGCATCAATCAATCTTTTGAGTATGCATCCGTTGTTCTCGTATCACAGAAATGAACGTTTCCATTTGACAACATCAACTCATAACTAACGTCGATCATCTTAACGATCAAAAATACTGCCTTTTCCTTTACTTCTCATATTAAGCGTCAATATTCAATTATAAAGTTGACTGTGATATTTTCGCCCAGCTTTTTTCTATGATTTGCAAAATTGCCACATCGCAACACGAAATTAATGGCACACCGTATTTGAAAAGTAGAGAGATATTCTAATGAAAACTTCTAATTTTCATTTTTTGACCGAGTCTGTGAAAATGATCGTGCATAATTACTCTTGAACTTAAAATAAAATATGGAAAGCAAACTAATAAGGCTGCAAATTATGCGATTTTCATAAGTAGCAAATGAAAACAGAATGTTAGAATAATGGTTAGATGATAAGAGGTTTGATTTGAGGATCGTGAAAGCATGAAAACTGAGAATTTGAGAGCAAGATTGACATTTCAAAAAATGAATCATTTTATATCATTATTCATCGGTGACATCTTTCCACTACGAAGTAACATCAAAATACCTGACATAGTGAGAGGGCATTTATTGAATTCATAGATAAATATCTTACTGGGCGATAATTTTGTTAAAATGATCAGAGTTCCTCTATTCATGTCCCAGAATGTAATATGGGACTTCTCACTATTTTCGTTAATAATCCCTTATAGCAATGGTTCTCAGAAGGAGGGGAATTTGAAAGTTATACAGAAAACAGGAATTGTAGGGATTGGCAAATCATCGGACTGACTGATTTCCTTCCAACAACTCTTTCATAGTTATCCGATGTGCTTTCAAAATGCTTGTTTGATCATTAGAAATTGAGACCTTCAATAAAACAACAGAATTCTTAGCAGTGAACTTCCTGATTAATGATTGATTTCATCCTGACTTGTCGCTAGGAAGAGGAATGGCCATTTGTTATATCGTCAAGGAGCAAAAGTGTGGCAACAGCTGCAATAGAGTAAATACAAAATCGACCAAAATGAAACCCTTCAATTGCAAGTATACTTATAAGTATGATCATTTCGAAGGTGAGCATCGACATCCGATGAAAAGATAAAGTAGATAATTAATTGTGTTTGGAACGCTTTACGCTGGATGTGAGCATTCGATATCAATGATCTGCATCTTTAAGTGTTGATATTTCTTATGAAAAAGCAAAATCACAAAATAATCATTTTAATGGCATTCGAGTGTGGGTGATCAGAGGCTATTTTGGCAATCTATTCAATTCAGTATATTACTTTCTAGTGAAGCGAAATGCGATATTGTTTGACGACTACTTTTTGTAGTGAAATATCGCCGAATAATTTTTTCATCACGAATTTTCCGATAATTGTCATAATTGAGAGAAATTTTAGTATTTGCCATCAAGAAGTAATTTAATTAGTATTTTGAAAACTGTAATTCGTTTCGTTCAATCTTCGTAATGCACTTCTACTTCGAGCCTTTGAAACAAAATGAATCTATAAGCTCTGTTTCAAATTGAGCATAAATTGACTATTTAGGTATTGCCCATCAGATCTGGGCATTCAAAAGCATTGTCAAATGATTCTTTCGTCTTTCTTTTTGTTGCAGCACAGACAAATTTTGATTCACAGCCACATTCATGAACTTACATTAATCAGGATAGTATAGTATCATTATGTGTCTAATCTCGTATTAATTTATATTCTTGGATTTCTGAACCGCTAAGAAGCTACAACCACCTTTTATATGTCATGATGTGGAGAATCATGTAATGAGCCAACATTTTCTCAACTGTAGCTTACTCGAATTTGATAAAAATTCTAACAAGCATAACTCTTCTCATTCAACTCAACTCAGTTTTGGAGAGTTCGAAAAAGTGTCCAATGAAAACTGCGATCAGCCAATGGTTGGGGATAAATATCAGCCACTTTTGAACCATGCATTCGAGAATATTCTACTAGTGACGAGCGTTGTTATTCGCTGAGGCCATTTTATATAACATCCTGATGAGGAAAACAATAGAATCATTACAATCAATGGTAACAGCGGATGGATAATCAAAAATACAATTACAACCCAACTAATACGTATGATATAGTTCAACTGAAATAAGAAAACTATCTAATAATCTATCTCATTCATATTTAATAATGACTTGAGCGAAAATAAGAAAAGTGTTACGGTAAATAAGTTGGAGCATAGATGCGATGATAATTTTAGCAATCAGCCATTTTATAATCTGCTTTACTTAAGATTAACAAACTGAACTTGAAATGCGAATAGCGAATCATTTTTGAGGCGTTTCCCAGTGATAGTTAACGATTTCTGCAATGAGTATTCAAAATATGTTGTATTCTTTTTCCTCACTCATTCTTATTGCATTCATTCTCTACAGCGATCCTATGGTACTCGATGCGTTAGAAGGTAGCACATCATTATATAAAGTGTAATAAAGTGTTTCTCACAGAGGACGGGGTTAATTACCTCCTGGGAATAACTTGGGAACATCGGGGGGAAAATTCAGTGGTCGGCAAACCAATACTACCTAATATTTGGATGCTTGCATTTGATGATATCAATTTCTTGATATAATTTTTGTCAATTTGATGATATAATTTTTGATGATAAATATTATTTTTTTGCATTCGATGATATAATTTTTGACAATTTCTACTTCTTCAATCGCTTATTTCCAATCAACGTAATACCTCTTTCACGATGAACGACAACATTTCTTATGATGTTAATAATTGAAATACTTGAAAGTGTTCCGATCATATTTGTTCAATGAATATCTTGAAATTCTTACATAAGGACTGATCATAGAAGTTAAATGGGAGTATAAAATGGTAGGCTTTGTGCACTTGTATCTCAAAACTCACGGTAGTTCGGATTTATATTCATCCACTGGTGAATTTACACTTATTATCATTTCGATGGAAAGATTGCTTCTCCGTTCATCTCGAAGATAAATGCTAACTATCATTTTGATGAAAAGATTGCTTCTCCGTTCATCTCGAAGATAAATGCTCAAATGTTCACTGCACTTTCCTTTATAAATAACTGAACTCGTTCATAAATTTCAGTTTTTTCATCGCTGACGAATGTTTTTTAATTGCCTTCCGTTGTTGACTGTTGAAGTTCATATTTTTTCTGCAGTTGATAAATAAAGTGCCAAAAACACTTCTTACATTCCAGAAAATTAGTTTCCTTCACGCCACTGAGAAATTTCTGGATCGGATTTCGGTTTCCTTCTGACGTTATGCGTGGAAATAGTACGTTCTCGTATCGGGGAGGAGGGAGATTAATGATGGCCTGCCAGACCTTCGAGAAGGTTAATGGAACTTCCAAGCATGAGAAACAATGGTATAATGATTATTTACTGCACTTTGGAAGCATGAATATGTTTGGATGATGACATATTCAAAATTTTCATTTCAACGACTTTTCAGCTACCTGTCCTTGCTGTAATTTTCTCCGGTCCTCATCCACATATGAACCGCTTCATGTTGCAAAGCGGTGTTCAACAAGTGAACGAGTGTCCATCAATTGGATCGGTACTTTCGACTTCAAACTGGAGAGAATGGTGGTCGTATGATACTATTCGAGAAGGTATCTGTATAATAATTGCAATTACATACAACTTTTCAAACATTTTATCCATCCGTTCTAATAGGATGCATTCAGCAGTCTGAAATATCAGGTATTGAAGATATCCTCCACAAAAAGACTTTTATTTTCCAGCAAACTGGTTATTTCAGTAGGCTCTTACTAACCAATATAATTCGAAACATAATAATGACTGAAGAAATTTCAGTAATAAGTGGAATGTGAGTCATTTAATTAACCTTGATCAAACAGCTGATTTGAAGCGTTGACTGTTACTTGCACGGTCAGGCAAATTATGAGCTAAATATATTTTCTGTTATTAAAGAGATGAAATGGAAGGTAGCTATTCTTATGAACCCAGAACGGCACTAAGAACACTGTGTCAGGAATGAACCACGCACTTGCGCATATGATCATAGCCACGTAATCCACATTCTCATGCCCATTCCCAGCATCAGCAGACCTCGATGGATCGTTTAAGGAAACAACTTGTCTGCTAATGAGTCCATCCGAAATACATTTTGTTGGCCGAGAAGAAAAGAAAAGAATGAAACTGCAATAATGATAATAATTTTATTCAAATTAATAGATCTGAGGAGAGCAGATGAGGCAATTCAAACATGAATAACAACTGCTAATTTGATATATCATACAACCAATGACGATCAAATCTGTCAAACAAATCAATCGCAATAATTTTACACTAAAATTTCCATGAACAACAAAAAACCAACACAACATGATGACTGATTATGACGGATAATCATGAATTGAACCAAAAACAATTATCATAAACAATCTCATAGAGGATATTCAAAACACTGAAACCTAAAGAAATGTTCATATTTAGCAGACCAATGTTCACGACTTTCATATTCTATTAAACCCTTATCTAATTGATTACATCAAACTGGACTGAAGTGTCCTTTTCTTCTTTTGCTTGATAGCGATACCTTTTTACATGGAAACGAAAATAAATAAATCGAGCTGCGCAATCAATCTGAAAGGTTTTTCTTCAAAAGCCAAAACTTTATAGAAAAGTCGGAAATTAGACACATCTATCTGCAAACACTTCACCATGAATCGAATACGATTGAAGAAGTACAAACTGAAATAATTAACTGACAAAGGCCGAATGATTTCTTCGTACTGAAAACTGAAAAACCATCATCCATCTTGTGATCAAAAATGAAACGAACAATCAGAATAACACAACCAATCAACAGGAACATAATAAAACATTAAAACAAAACAACGAAGGATGAATGAAAAAGAAGATGAATTTTGTGAAACATATTACATATTAAATTCGTCGGAACAACAACATCTGCGCCAAAATCGGCAACAGGAAAAGAAAGAATCAATGGGAACGATAAAGCGCTTCGTAGAGCGATGAAATGAGCTGAAATCGAAAAAAATAAAGGTGTTAAAAACTTTGTTGAAAATGGAGGAATTTCATTCCAAATTCTAACCTACGATTTCTCCAGTATACGCATGAAACAGTCAGAAATGGTTTCAACAATACCCTGTTTTAAAAATTCGCAAAACCAGAAAAAGAATTGAAGTGATTATTCGCTGTAAGCAACCGATGATTCAGGAAACGCTCCCTCTCATATAAACACGGCCCAGATATCATTCAAATAAACAACAACAAGTTGGTGAAGAGTGTAAAATAAATACAACGAACCATGGAATCAAATATGACGATTGAATGACTCTGAGTTGAATCAAATCAAATTCAACAAAAACACAGTAACAACGTTCATAAGTATACTTACAAGACTACTACTGTCGTGCACTGATGTGAATTTGTGTTATATTTTGCGAGATTATCGTTTATTTGATTCAGTCGAATAAATAGCTGAATAAAATTCAAAGTGTGCACATGAACATGAAATGGTTTCACTAAATTTCCCTCACGCTCATCGCAGAATGGCAACCGACGGTTTCGAAATGGAACAGAATAAGGTTCAATCGGTAGTTCTGCCAATTAGACCCGGATGCATAATTTGGTAAACAGTGACTCCTGTGACATTTCCTAACGGTAACAGCCGTTTATTTTTAATGAATAAAGGTTCGTTCTCAAAACAAGAGCAACGTTTCTTTTCGATTTGAAAATTGTTTTTTTCTCCATAACAATTAATATTACAAACCAATCAGAGCGCCACGGAACAGTTCTCATTTAAAACATAGCGAATTACACAAAAAACTGTCCAAAAACAATGAAATCGGAAATGATCTGATTGACTGCAACAGTCGCCGTTGAGAAGCAGTGGTGCTTGCAGCAGAAAGATACGGTGTTATCAGGTAGAGAAAGGACAGAATAAATAGGTGAATGACCAAAAGAAAATAGAAAATGCCGAATGGAGGTGCTTATTTCTCGACAACGAATGGATGCTTAAGTGCTTCATTACACGTGATACGTTTGGAGTTGTCGAGTGTGACCATTGTATCAAGCAGTGATCGGAACTGCTCCAATTTGCGTCTACCCTCCTACAATTAGTTATACGTTTATAACTGTACCTCGTCAATCGGGTAACTTCAAAACAATGAAAACAACAACGATAATTCAAATTGGACTGAACCGGTTCAAACGAAACGTTCAATGAGATGGACAATCAAGTAACAACTTCGAATGGTTTAAATTCCTATAAACACAAACAACAAACCTTGTCAAGTTCTTGATCTCCCAGTAATTCACCCTCCAAATCACGAACAATTTTGACAACCGGTAAAGTAGTGACCTAAAAGATGGTAAACATTAAATGAAATAACCATGTCATATGTTCGAACAGCATAACACATCATCCGAATTACACACTAACAAAACAGCAAACAATCAATGAAATTCGAAAGAATGGAGCACCTTATCACGGTGAGTGACTTTATCAACTTCGTGATAGAGGAAATTGCAGTTGAGATCAAAGTGTTGGTCCCTGAACTGTGCTTTACGGACCAGCTTATTCGAGAATTTCCCTTTCAAATCCATCATAAATTTCAGCATTTGATTGTTGGATTTACCGGGAAACATGATCTTGCCCGTGTAAACTTCGTATAGTGTCACTGCCACCGACCACAGGTCAATACCAAAATCATACGGAAGTCCTAACACTGAAAAATCGAACCACAAACAATCAGTAATACAATTTACTTTCCAGATGACATTTACAGGCTCAAGATGAGAACAAAGCAGTTAAAAATCATCACACGAATGGAATGTTTGAAAATGTGAACGTTTTTGTGATGAACTGAGTCCGTTGGACACATCCCATTTTCAAGTTAAAATGTATAATTACTTATTTCCGGAGCACGATAGAAACGCGATACTAAATATGGTGCTAATTCCGCGTCAGCCACATGACAACCTGAACCAAAGTCGCACAATTTTAGCGTCAGCTTCGTATCATTCACCTGTAAACAGTCAAATTACCACTTATAATAATAACGACAACAATAATAGTACGTGTGAATGCTGCCAGAACCGTTGTAATCAACGGTTTTTCGATCATATCACAAACCGAACCTCAAAAAAATCAAACAACAACGGAACAAAGGAGCGAAGACAAAAACTAACCAAAATATTATCAGGTTTAATATCCGCATGCAGAATATTACACTTTTTGAGAAGTCTTAACGCCAGCAAAAGTTGTTGAGCATAACTACGAACAGCTTTCATGTGCAAACCAACGTTATTACCATATTTTTTTAATAATTCACGTAAATTCATGCTGCAAAATAACTTTAACTCATCAAGTAATTTGATACCAATTTGTGAAAAAACGAACGAATGAACACTGCTAGAATAGATATCAATTATAGCTTTTCAATGTGACACAACAAGAAAGTGCTAGAATGATCACAAGCAAGTAATTAGTGCATGACAAACAAAAGGAATAAATGGAAGTTAGATGTTACCTAATTTAAAAAAAATTGTGAAATCAGTCATGCTAATTTGTTGCTGCTATATTACGAAGATTGATAACTGACGAAGCATGAATAAACACTTCTTTGGTCATGGTAAATAAGCAAACCTCAACGACTCGAAAACAAGGCACAGATGCTGATGATGATAAAAATGTCTGTAGAGTTGTAAGCAGTGATAGCGATCATCCCGGTCGGCTTCATTTAATTTCTTCAATATCTCCAATTCCTTCATACCAGTCTTTCGCCTGAACTACGATAAATAAATAAATGAAGAAATAAGTCGTCAGTACTGTTCCTGCTCACTTAAATGAATAAGCAACGCCTCTTCTGACCGAACAGAGAACGAATGCAACGTTTTCTGCTTCTATATACAAGAACACCTTGTATGAACAACGATGCAAACAAAATGCCACCAGTATGGTCACTCCAGCTCTGCGACTACTAATTATGAAAACTAATCCATGAGCAGATAAAAAGCAAGACATCCATCCGAAAAAGATGTCATATGAATACAAGAGAAATATAACAAATGCATGGCGTATGATGGTCAAATGGAAATTAACAAGTTATTATTCGAATGGTTATTATTATCATATCATCTACTATACATCTGATTTGGTCTCATCTGATAGCTATCTATGTGAGAGCAAACTACCAAAAAAGAATGTCTGTCTCCCGGCCGCGCCGACGGACGGAGGGCGTACTTCGATGCACTTCGAACGCATGCGCTTTTTTGCACCTTCACAGCAACAACTTCGCTCTACAACAGCCAAATTATAAGATAAATTGATTGATAGTTTACGTAAGCAAGATAGTGATGCAACGTGAAGCAATCACGACCTTTTCGGTTGTTTTTGGAAGGGGATAATAATAACAACCGATTTTTTGAAAATTGTACTTCCATTTAACCGTAATCGCCATGTGTGGTGAATAAATGTGCATCACATCATTCGTATCGTCATATTCTTTTTTGGAGAAAAGTAGCTAATATTCGGGTAAGACTGTGGCACAAAACGTAAGACGATCAATTTCTTTTTGGAACAGCCACGGACAAACTCTCGGGAAATGAATAAAAAATGAAACAACTAGTTTTCAACATAGATATCGTGGACATTGGATGATCTAAACGATTTTGTATCAAATCAACATCGAATGAAGAGATTAACGGGTTACTAAAAGATTCAGTCATTGTGATATATATATCATTACTGACGAGATAAGATATGACGTACGAATGATGTTAAGCGCTATTCGAATGCAAACTCATCACTCACATCACTTCATTGTTACGAATAATTTTCACCGCAACGTGAGTATTGCTACGTGCCGCATCTGTGGCTCGAACCACGTTGCCGAAAACACCTGCGCCCGTATAGCCATAAACACGATAACGATTGTCTAACATCTCACCGATTCGTACACCTGAAATTCATTTGATACTTGTCCATTATTCATTGCTTTTATCAAATAACTCGCTTTTTAAGAGGATGAATCTACACTTAACAGTATACCAACGATAGCAACAATATAAAAAATGCAATACATGACTACCACTGTCAACATTCGCAAAAATGATTAATTCGACATAAACTCAAACTCTAATCCTTTGAGTGCACACAGTTTAAAGAAAACGATGAGGTTTCGCACAATTTAGCGCCAATACTTCCACACTTTAAACATAACTTCTACAGTATGCAAAGTCAAACAACAAATTCCTTACGATAATAACCCTCCGTATCATCCCAGTTATCTCGAAGCGATGCATTTGCAGCGTCTTGCCCCGAAACGATTACGGCCGATTTCTTCAACAACTGCAACACCAATCATTCAAACCAATTTGAACGTGCTCAATGAGTTTTGATGAAACAACAAAATCGACTGAATGGAGAAAAGAACACGAGATATGAAGGAATCAAACACACCTCAGGAGGTAGATCTGCATCTGCAGCGAACATATCGAAGGCTGTGTCGTTGGCATCACTGCTCTTCATAAGTCGCTCACTACTGCTACCACTAACCTTCGTCACATCCTCACCACGCTGTCTTCTTTGTTCTAAGGCTTCTTCTTCAGCTGCCTTCTGCAGCGCTCGATCCACCTCTGATTCTTGTTGTCCCTTGAATCAAACTGCTCTCATTTATTATTTTCTACCACATCCAAATTCATCTTTTTTTTCTATTTCACTATCAAATTTTCTAGACTACCTAATCAAGCTATCACATCGAAACAGAACATGATTCCATTCAATCAATGACACATTTCATTCGAAAAGTGCAATTAAATAACACTATACAACAAATAAAAAAATAGGTGAAGGAAACGAATTAAAGCATCTCAAGAAAAAAAAAACCAAGATGAGCCATTACTTGCAGCCACGTAAAAAAGCATAGTCAGCAAACAGTAACATGCCGCTATGCAACAACATGGAAGGCTGAATGTAATCGTGCTTCTATTAATAAGAGACGAGAGGGGGACAGCGACCCCTATAACTCTCTTATTGACACATAAGCTAACAATCTTTGCTGAACGCTCATATCATTCTACCAATAAAAAATAGCATTTATATTCTTAGAGAAAATACTTCGTTTGAAAAATTCTTTTAATGCAATTAACGAAGTAAGAAAATAAAATAGTGGAATGGTGAATAACCTTTATGTGAACCATTTTTTGTTTGAGGTCACCAAAGAAATCACCGGGTGTATCTTCACCACCAGCAAGAGGAGACACTGGACTGCTTGAATAAGAGTGTTCACTTTCGTGGCGCCGACGTAATTCTTGCTTTGCTTCTTCGATAATATCGCCATTCATTGATTCATTCTCTTCCTTATCTTCATCCGAATCATCTTCTTTGCCTTTACTACTCATCGCATGTGATGCATTAGCATTTTTGATCGATCCACATTCAATATCACCACCCACACTTGTTGATGCAACAGTACTAAAGTTCGAACTATATGAATAACAATATATGCAACGTTCTTGAACATACCCTACTGCTCAACTGAATACCATGCAAAACTTCGACACTGTTAACTCATTTATGCACATCATAAACGATGTTCCATCGAAATGAGCATTTTCAAATGAACGAAAAGATTTTATGTGAAGTACACCAAAAGTTTGTAGGGAAATGAGGCAGAAAGTGGAGCAAGCGAATGCAGAAAGGAAAAACTTACCTAGGTGAGGCACTTGCCTCCTTGACGACACTCTGCTTCTCGATTTCTTCTATAATTCTTCGTCTTCGCCTTCGCTGTTCTTCGATTCGCTTCTTTTCTTCCTCATCTGAATCAACCCACTCCAATGAACTTTCACTATCGCTTCTTCCATTACCATCAATACGCCGTTGTTCATTGTTACTTTTCTTATCATCACTGCAAGACCGTTACTTTTGCATTATAAGAACTAATCACTCAAGTTTCAAAGAAGAAGTTTTCAACTAAAATATCAATAAATATTTCCTTAGTTCATTTTCAACAAGAATGATATTTTCTTACATGGATCAATTAGAAATGTGTAACAATCACAATCCATGAAAAAAAAGAGACGAAACGATTAGTTATCTAACACTGCCAAAGGAAAAATTTCAAAAATGTATAGTTGCTTCAAATTCAAGACGGTATTTACCTCTGTCTTGCATCAGTCCTATTCGAGGCATTGCTCTTTGACGATTTGAGAGTAGCTGACGATGTGTTGTGACGAGAATGAGACCTTTCATAGCCCTCATCTTTGCGCCTTTCAGAACTTCTATCATTCGGTCGTCTTCTTTCGTGAACAGGTGACGCTTCTCGATGTCGTTCGCGTGATGACGCCCGTCTTGAACGTCCATCCCGAGATGCACTACGACGATTCGATGTCCTCGAATCTCGTTCCCGATTCCAGTCAATCCCCCTATTAGTTGAAGTTCTTTGACGACCGCGATCTCTGTCGCGTGATCTTGATCTAGCACTAATGCGTCTACGAGCAGCACCGTTGGAACGTGACCGATGACGAACTGATGATCGAGAATGATGCCTGTGCTCATCACGATGACGCACACTTGTGGAGCGGGCCCTTCCATCGTTCGCTGATCGCAATCTTGATGTTTCTGATCTATCCTTTTCCCTAATTGAATCACCTCTCCTACTCTTCTCCACTTCACGTAATGAGGGGCACGATGAAGTCATTTGAATCGTTTTCGAATCGTTCACTGCCTTTCTTTTTTCCTGACCATTTCTGTCCGTTGTTTCTTTCTTGTTTCCTTCTGAACTTCTCGATTCTTTTTCACTGCTTCGATTTTCTTTCGAATCATCCTCTTTAAATGACCTCGAACTGTTTTTACTGACTTTACCTTCCAATCCCTCTTTCTTTACAACTTCCTCCTCTATTTTCCCACTTTTTGCTTTATCCTTGGACTCTCCTCTCTCTTTTTCTAATACTTTTGTGATTTTTAATTTTTCTCCTTCTTTTCCGATTTTCCCCTTAATGATTGCAGCTTTCACAACAGGTTTATCTGCATCCATCCAATCTTTTCCCTCCTTCACCGAATCTTGAGTACCGACAGAGGTATCCATCAGTTCACCATCGGAAACACTTGAACGCTTATGATGCTTCACATCTAATTTTTGTTCCATACTTGAAATGACACCACCTTCTACCTTTCCTCCACCACTTCTGTTGCTGCTGTTATTCCATTCAGTATCGTTCTTTTTAATACTTAAATCCTTATTAATTTTATTCACCAAATCATGTTGCATAGAAGATTTGTTGTTGTCCTCCATATTCATTGTTGTTTTCAAGTCATTATTTTCAGTCGAAGATGGGCATCGATCAGGTTTACTTGACGCAGAGCAGCTCGTTGTCAACTTTGTTGCTGATGCACCATTTGCATGAGCCATTTCTGCAATCATTCACAGCAATACCGTCAATAAGCTATTCAACCTTTTTGAGGTGATCCAAAAAATGTTCGAGCAAATATAACAGAGGAAACAATGAAAGTTCATTTCAACAACAAAATAATCACAACGCACTTCTTTTCGGTAATACCTCACTACACTCTAAATCAGGGTTTCTCACCCTGGGGTGTTCGCACTTCTAAGGTGTGCAAGATGGCATTCCAACGGGTGCGATATAAGGTTTTATTTCCACACATTAAAGTAGGCAAGGACAGAGTTCATCGCATAGAGTGTGTAAAATATGCGATAGCGGACTTTAACGCATATTTTTTTGAAAAGGCTAGAACGTACTCTACTGGTATATACTCACCTACACTAAAGAATCTTGCTGTAGTGGATGTTGTAAGGGATGCGAGGAAATTTAAACTATTTTTGTATGGGACGTGAGCATATCTTTAGATTTTCTAGGGGGTACGAGGGAAAAAAGGCTGAGAACTACTGCTCTAAACGCAATTCCTCACTCATTAACTTCTCTATATCCTGAAAATGGTAATTGTTTTGCAAAGAAAAAACTTTAAATTCTTCTGTAAAAAAGAAATGTTTACCATCATCACTCAGTGAATCTTCTTTTAGCGCTCTTTCGATAGCAAGTTTCTTCCTCTCAAGTAACTCCAGTTCATCCTCATTCACACTGCTCCGTCGCCTCTTTCGATCCTTCTTATGCTTTTTCGACTAAGAATGCAAATGATCAAGCAATGATTTTGCCCATCTGAGTTTTCAAAAAATAATGATCTAAAGAAACCGTAGCTTCATTAGAGATCGAAGAAAAAAGTGGTATCAAAGGATATAAAGACGTAAGTTAAAACATTTACTTTTTTGTCTTTCTTCTTCTTTTTCTTATGCTTCCTAGTCGATCCATCTTCACCACTCAACGCCCGTCTTCTTTTGTGGTGCCCGTGTCCATGTTCATGTTCACGTTCCATTACATCTTCATCACGTAATTCATCACCACTCGATGAAACTGACTCGTTTCTCTCGTCCATTTCAATATTAGCCAATGACATAAGTCTATGTTTTATCACCTGCAACCGTAAACTTACTGAGTCATGATAAACAAAGAAAAAATTTCGTTAAAATAGATCCGTTTAATGCTTTTCATCTTATACCAGGTCAAACATATAAACACCGAGGATACTCAACGCCTTATCACTAGATGTTTCATTCGTTTGTTCAAATGATCAAATATGTCTAAATAACAAAATTTCTTGAATTACACAACAAAGCCTAGTGGCAAAGTCGACACTACATCAAAGTTATACGGTTGAACGAAAAAATGAAAATATTTCAATCGACACGCATCAATTTCCGGTTAGCACTGATAACCGAAACAATATTACATAATTATTAATGGCGCTGTCTGAAACAAGTTCCGAACAAACGGATATCTTTCCCCCGAGTGGAGTGGCATTCATACCATTTCATTCATTCGGGTGATGAAAACGTGTGAACACTTTTCAAATACATCGACAGTTCGATCACATTATTGACTTCAGAAAAGAATTCGCCGCAGGGAAGGGAACTAAATGAGACCAAAACTAAAAAAACATCATTCGAAGAGTCGATTAAATAGACTTTGGAAAGTCAAGGGTAAAACATAAATTGTACGCTTAGTGTAATCCTACCCGAAACCCCCAATTACGGTCGAGACTGTCGTAGCTGTGCCGCCTTCGTCCAGGGAACGCAAATTTTCCATTTGCATATAAGAAACGTCGTCGGTTACTTTCCTCAATCAGCAGTCGTCAGAAACATAACTTTGAAATATTTCTGAACGTGTTCAGAATCGGCAATCAATGTAGAAGCGAAGTTCTAAAAACACTCGCGAACAGAAAAACGCTTTCACGTCAATTCAAAGACTCGTAGAATTCTCGAATAACTTCTCGTAAGGTATCCTGAGCTAATATGCTATTCCTGAACTATCAATCAATAAAAAACAACCGGAATTAAAATCTTTTTTTTCTGATTTGATTATTATATTTAACCACAAATTCGTATCGCTTTTTAGCGACGTATCGCAACGCTGACGGATGAATAGTTCATTGCTCTTGAATAATCGTTCCGAAAACAGCATTGAGCACTAAAACAGTGCTGTTCTCACATTCTCATTCTCATTCACATACACATGTATTATTCTAAAATAGTATCGTACGTCAATTAATTCATACTGATATGTGAACATCTTCATTACTTGTTAGAATTTATTGAAATATTACAACGAAAACAACGAGGACGCCAAAAACAAAGTCTTTTGTGGGAAAACAGCAACAAAATAACCGATTTTACTTCTGTTGAGGAAGTAAAACGATGAAATCGAAAACTTTCGAGATGACACTAATTTTGTCGATGTGTCGTTTTTGACAGGTATAAGGCTATGAAAATACAATTGTGAAATGTATAGCGGTAATATCAGTGATAAATTAACAAATTGTCTATATCATTCAAACACATCTGAATGAACCAACACCGTGCTATCATCTCGATCTGGTGTATTACTCATGCATATATCTATAATTTTTTCAACGAATACATCAAGAAAAGGAAAATAATTGTTTTCTGCTAATGGCTAGTTTTTGATACCGCTGTTCAACAAATAATTTATTTGTCTACTTATATAGATAACCTTCGGTATACCATATGTAAATGTATGCCCGTCGAGATATAGATGCAACTTAATACTAATTGTTGCTGAATTTATTGCACATAACACGAGCTCCACTGCATATGAATGATGGTCTTTGCCAGTTTTGGAGGACTAAAGAAACGAATTTGCTTGAAAATAACATTTCCTTCATGAAACTTAGTCTCGTAGTTTGGAACCACATCTCCTTTTCTTCAAAATTCTTGCATATCTTTTTCTTTGACGATTCTTATTAATTCTTATTTTTAAATGACAGCCTCGTAGACATCCACTTTCAAGTCATGCTTTTTGATGTCACTGATCAAGTTTTTTACATATGTCGTGATATGTTACTACATACTTTTTCATTTGAATAGAGTTTCAAAAGTTTCCAATCGTTTTTTATCCTCATATGGTCTCTTCTACAACTGCATAAACGAACTTGTAGTTGGTAATTTTTCTTCACTGGATGACGGATAAATGAGCTGAGCTATCGTCAGCTGAGTGAATCATTCTCGATATTTTTCAAAACTGTTTTGCGCTGTTGATGTCAGAAAACATGTTAAGCATCTTTGAGTAATTCAACCAATGTAATTCTCTGTCGGAACCGGTTCTTTAAAGGACTCGACTAGAGAGTATTTTTATTCGGACAACTTCCTACGAATGGCACATTGATCGTGTGAAAGGACGCACGGGTCTCGCACTTCCTCCTTTGATTTCAGTCATTTATAACTATGAAATCATAGTTCGATAAATCGTTGATGTAGTTTTCTTAATTGGTAATAATCTTTTCACTCACGGTTGCTTTAATTTTTGGCATTGTTGTTATGATGGTTGTCTTGACTAGCGCCGTTCTTGAATTCTTGTTGAACGATTATTTGGTTCTGAACAAGTTATATCGCCACTTATTTCTTTGATTCATCTATCGATTTCTACTCCAATAGTAATTGCGTTTATTGTACTGTATTTCAGCAAGGCAGTCGTTTCATCAGTTTACAAGTATTATCGCTAGGAGCACTCTCTGAATTTGCTTTAAACTCTCACTTATCTACTCATATCCAGTCATGCAGAAAATATTTCTGGCTATTTTATCGATATCCAACATCATGATGTATGCGGTATGTTCAGTGTTGAACTTTTGATGTTCAACCTTTTAATGGATAAATTTTTCTTCCATTTATAACTTAATAATAAAAAATTTTGGAATAGGCAAACGAACGTAGAACTAGTTGAAGGAATAATGCTGATGTTTAGCAAAGGATGCTGATGTTCTTTGTGTTATTTTTGTCAACCTTTGGGGCTATATGAAAAACGAACAGTGAATCGTAATTTGGATGTGAATTTTATGCAATAAATCTGCGACGAATTTCACATTTTGATCAGTGCATTCCGATATTGCGTGGGTCATTTCATTGAACGCCTAATGAAATGAATTTTGCAATTTGAAACGTTTACATCAGGCTGCAACGCCAGCGTCATCCCGAATCCACACTCATAGAGCTGATCAAGAACTAACTCAATCAAAGGATGTGAGAGTGGGTGATGCGATTACGGTGCTTCCCGCCGATGCACCTGACGATCCTATCAGCAGGATAAGGCTTGGCGGTCCAATATCGCTTGCGCATGGTGAGTTGTATGTAGGGTTTGCAAAACTCCGACCATTTTCTCAATCCCGGGACGATCCCGGTATTTCGAAGCAACTTTTGAAATACAGAAATGTGACTTGTTTAACACATTCTTTTTGAGCCAATGTGTTCATAATTGATCAGAAAACAATTTGTTCAACAAATTATTCATCAAAGCTCAGCAAACTCAGCAATTCAAGAAAACAAAGCACGAACAATACAGGACGGGTACAATTCATACGGAGATAAAATTTGCGATTAGATGAACTTTTTGCAATGAGATAAAACTTACATATTCAAAAGCTCATTGTGAGTTATTTGTGTATTCTATTAAGAAAATGGTTTCACTACGCTTTCTTTAACTCAATACCCCGTTAATAATCATCCTGCGTTGTTGATAAAGTATAAGATGTTTTTTTTATATGAAGTGAAATTTGTTGAATTCATAATTGTTTCTGAAATTTTTGTTTTTTGCGGAACTCTACCAGAACATATTTAATAGAAGAAAGAATCTTTGGGATAAAATTCCGAGAGACTTTAAATAAGCTCTCAGAGAGTTAAAAATTGTTATAACAACTAAAACAAAATCGTAATGAAATGACGAAAAAACAGACTTATGAGTGACTCAACAACAACACATTCAAACAACAAACTTCAGTGAGACTTAAAGTAAACTTTCAAAAGGTAATTGTTGCATCGCTCATCCGACTTCTCAGTTTTGTATAAAAAGTACGCAACAAACAGATTTGGAATACGATGCAACGTTGATAATGAAACATAAAGCCACGGTGATGCTATGAAATTCTTGGTCAGTGTTATGTGAAAACGAAAGCTGGGTGGCAATATGTCATGAATCATATTTCGATTACCTTTTGGATGGTAAACAACAAATATGAGTGCTTTTTAATGATCTCAGAATGACTTGTGAATCATTCGTGATGGACATACTACAAAATTCATTTGAAAAATGACTTATTTCATTTTTTTTTGTTATGAATCCCGGAAATACCATAACTCCCGGCACCACGAATCCCGGGATCGGGATTTAAAAATCGGGACTCGGAACCCCGTACAAACTCTAGTTGTATATAACCAGTTATTGGCACAACACTTCCGTTAGTCAAGCTGCATGCAAATTTTGCTCGTCACGATAACCAAAAGTTAGGTTCCATGAATTTAAGTCAATATGCTATCCAGTTATGGTTAGAGAATAACTGAATGCAAATGAAAGCAAGTGTGTTCCTGCGAACGCCTTTCATAGATACCAAAGTACATTCCATACTGGTAGAAGAAAGGAAGATCATTATTTGAGAGGTTTTTTGAAAGAATGAGAATCATGATGTTCAGCCATTCAAACGTCTCTGATTATCGTTATATAGAGGTTTTGACTTCTTCCAAAATGATTTCTGTATCATATGTTAAATCGGCTGAACATTCTTTTACAAAAATATTCAAAACAGTTCATCATTTTCACATTAAGCTTTACAAAATTTCAGGTATGCATGACGATTGATTCGAAGTATCACCATTTACAAAGGTTTTTGAATTGCTACATCCACATTGATTGATGCAAAATTTTTCTGCTGTTGGCTATATAAAGTCCAAATCAGTGAAGAATGCAAACCATGATTAATAATCCAAATACCTGGTAACGAAGTTCTGATCTACTCGATTTGTTGATTTAGTTGACAATTCTAATCGAACAGTTGCTCTTTGAATTTTTTCCAAAAAAATCTTTGATATGTTCTATGATTTTATGAATGGTGTTTATTTCTCGTACGAATTGCTGCAAACAATTATTTATTCCTCAGTCTCTGAGATTCGCTTATAATCAGATGGTACCGAAATTTGAATTCAATTTTTGACTACGAAAATACGACGAGCACATCATGAGCATGAGGATCTCTGCTATGTTCAGTTGTAATAATTGATTGAAGCCAAACAGTTCAGTTATAGTACATAATGTTTATTTTTTCTGGCTCAGCTGACGAATTCCGTTATCAACACTTCTTCTTGATACAGACCATTACTCCTGAATGCTTCCTCATATGAGAACAACAGCTGTATTTTCGTGTTCTTCGTTAACGAAAAATGAATACTTTATTTCTATTGTTTTCGTATGAAGTAATGAACCGAATTTTCAGAAAAACTGCATTAATAAGGAGAAGGTAATTTCGATGTGTAATGTCAGCATAAATGAATGTATTCATTATAAGAATAAATGCATGTATTGAAATTTAATAAAAATTAATATTATTCAAAAACTTGTCATTATATGCATTGAACAGATGCTAACGTTGTGAAACAAATGACCGAAAGAGGTAATACAGTAGAGGTAACTCCAAAGAGGGTTGTTAGATTATGATGATGATTTACAAATGAAGATAATGAGTATCATATGTACGAAGAAAAGAGGATTGTACTGCGTGCAGTGTTCATTATTCACATGCTTGAAACAACTAGCTAGAAACTTCTTAATCACACTTGTCTGTCGTCATAGAAAGCACCGACTCGAGCGACTGGTTGGAGCATTGATGTTTGCGACCGCAAAAAGGACGGCACGCGACGCGTAGAATCTTGTAAGTGAGTAGTATAGCTTTGCTGTTGCTATTGCATGGAAATGCATGATGTGGATTGGTCACTGAAGCAACGAACAACCAACAGCCCGAGGCCGTAAGCCAGAAAGGAAGAGTGATTTAGCTGCCTATATGCATACATTTTCTGCATATTCTCTCAGTTCTTCACATGTTGATACATTAATTTCGTGATGCATATATGCACATGGACACAACATATCTCTCAGACTTTATACATCCTTCATTCGTTTCGCTGTATGTCAACGCATAGAAACATCCTTTATTTTCCATTTTTTTCATTAAAGCATATTCAATTTATGGATAAGTTGATGAGCATTTCCTTTTCTTCCTTCTCTTGCCCATCTGTTTATCTGTTGTCTGCAGCCTTCCAGTTTCAGCTCAGTTCGGTTCATAATCTAAATAAAATTTTTTCAAGCTCTTCGCCTCCTTCTAAAATCCATGTTTTTCGCAAATATTCATAAGAAGTGCTTTCTTCATTAGGTTTTGTCTCGTATAATGGCAATCGCTGTCCCTTTTAGAAAACGACGAATGGATAGGCTTATTTTCACACTAGAGAAACATTGTCGTCGTTTTGGCTCACTTTCAGGCTGCCTTAGCTTATCGCTACAGCACAGCAAATGCATGTTTGCTACAAGAAACAGTAAGTTTTTTCCCGAAATTGAAGAGCATTCCCTTTTCAAGCAGTTCTGACGATCGAAAACTATGTTTAAAACATGTGAATCGAATCGTTCATCGTTATAGATTCTTGTGGTTCTAGTCACTGAATGCTTCCAGTTCAAATTCACCAAGTTCTGAACACATTCAATTCAATGACAACTTTTGCTGATGAGTTCTGGAATGGTTATTTGTTTAGTGACCGTCCTATTATAATTTATTGCTGCAATTTTTAACCTGAAATCTCCATTTTCTTCATGCACTTATTTTCGTGCGATAACTCTGCGATCATTCGCTCATTCTCATGCCTCGTTCATTTTCGACCGATAATACTCATTTTGCTGTTATTGTTCTACAAAGTTGAGCTGTGCTTTTTCTTGCCAACTTTTTCATTGAACAATATCCAATCTTTTCAGCGAAAGGAATGGATTGTTTTACTTGAATGACCACCGCGTTCAGATCATTTGTTATGGTATTTCAGTTGCTGCCCTCAGTACATTGTGAACTGCTGAAAACTTTTTGGAAATCATTAATTTAATAGTCATACATACCAATGGATGCAATCGTTCATCATGGCCAACGCATTGGCTGGTATGTACTCTATTGTACTCATCGTCTCCTCTGAATTCGCTTCTTAAGTTGGTAAAATTATTCAGGAAAGAATGTAATATCATGGAATGAAATTAAACTGCAGTATCCTCTTGAATTTGAATCACTTTTAAATAGAAGTACCCTCTCGGAGTGCTGCGAAAAATATAAGCCTGTAGGAATGAAGGCCTTTTGAAACAAGCTTCTGCCCATCCTCCGTAAACAAAGGAAGGATTTTCATTCAGCAGTTTTCTCAAGGATGTTCTGAATACTGTATAGAAAGTAATATAGCGTAATCAGACCAGCAAAACAAGAAGAACATGTACTGAAAATATCGCAATTATCTCAAAATAATTGAATACTTTCAATTTTTTTGTAAAAAATAAATCCTCTTTACAATAAAGCCCTCTTTAACAGAAACCCACTCTCATAGAGCTGTGGAAAATATAAGCCCTGAGGCTAATATTCAAAAAATACGATGAACGCGATTGCCTGCCACATTATATAGTCCCGAGATTAAACATGACGGATGTTTAGGAATGTAGTCTTAAGAGTCACTGGAGATCATCTATGAGAAGGAGAACATTCATTTCAAAAGATTTTTGTGAAGAAGAGACTCACAAAAACGTTAGTATGCTTAGTGTACTAAGATAAAATGGTATTTAGGCATATTGTCGTTTTATTGTGGTTGTTTTCGAAGTCAACAATTGCAAGAGAATGTAGATTGGATGATTTTATCTATGAATACACGAACTGCGATGAACGTGGAGAACGTTGGCGTGTTGCCGTGCCCAAGAATGAAAACTTGAGATGTGAAGGTGGTTCTCCATTGCCCACTAGAGGCACAAACTGCTGTTTGTTTTAATGATTTTCTCCTTATTTTCGAATATTATCAAAAAGAAAACTGTTATTCAACGCGTAAATAATTATCATACATGGATTTGCCATACAATGTGCTGTCTAGGCCACGTTAACACCTTTTGATAATGCCATCTCTCCGGAACACACTATTTCATTTCCGACAAATAGTACACAAGACTGTCATGCATGTATCACTTCTACTGTTATTTTAGACTTTAACATGACACAGATCCCGGTTATATACACAGTTATAAGTGGAGCACTTACTGGTATTCCATAGAACTGAATCAAATTGGAAAGTATCCGTTATCGAAAAAGTATCAAAGAGTTAATTCTATAAGGAAACAATTCATGCTCCCGAAGAATTTCTGTGAATATCCTTATATGGCTGATATTTAATCAGTAGTCTCTTACTTCTAGCGATTAGAAGTGCTTCACTCGGCAGAGCTAATAGCAGCCTGCTGTTTTCGTTTATGTGAAGTTGCCTAAAGTGTTTCTCGCCTTGTCGAATTTTTTCTTTTTTCAGCATTCTCGTGCCAGTCAGGGATGTTTCTTGATATCGACACGCAGCAGTGTGTGCACTGTGCTAAAGGTATAAAAGTCTACTGAATCGATAAATAAATAATCGAAAAGAATAGCCATTATCTGCTCCCACAACCAAAAACTGAATGCTACACATACTGAACATCAGTTCTAATGATTGATGCTTACTGACTGTGAAAGAAGTGTCAGTGTATTGTTTAATACATTTTAAGTAGTCATTTATAAAAGTTTTCGTCTGAACAATTGTAGCAGATGTATGACTTCTTATTGAAGGTAGCTACAGTCTCGGTGGCGGTACTCGTTTTGATGAATTCACACGATTACCGACAGGTTTCGTGGTTGAGAACATTGATGTAAGCATTGATCGATTGCTTAACAATCAGCGGACTGCTGAATGCCCTCTCGAGTAAGTTTAGCTGATGAGTTCGATCGCATGAATTGCTCCAAATACGAATAATAAATTATGCCATAGGAGTGGATGGATCGTGAAAAATTCTGAATTGATGTACGTTCCGACACCATGCCTCTCGAAACTCACATACAGTGTAACGTTAGTTCGACCTGGTTATGTGGAATACACTTATCGAATGCCGAAGAACAGTCGCGGACTAGTGTTCAACGTTGTCGTCAAAAATCAACAATGTCAAAGTTACAGGTACACTCCAAATGCTTGTTTTCATTAGTGCACACTCCAAATGCTTGTTTTCATTAGTGCAATAGTTCATGCGAATGAAATTCACACTGACAATGAGCATTATGCATTAATCTGTGAGCTTTTTGATGCTCTGCTTTTTATTAAACAGTTTTGGCGTGTCTTGTAGAGATCAACTCAAACAACTTACGTCGGGTGGTTTGAAAGAGAAACAATCAGCGCATCGGACGGAAGAAGAAGTCGAATGGCAGCGAAGGCGTATCGAGCTTCGTACCGGACCGAATGTGATAACATGGAGTGTTGCAAATAATCGTGATACTGCTTCAACGGCTGATGTGATAACATTATCGAAGATTGATATTGTTGGTTCGCATATGCAATGATTCGATGGATGATGAAAATACTTTTTGAACAGTTCATAGAATGCTCAGTATTGCTTCATGAACCTTCTTTCTCAAGTTGTTTCTCCGGAATACTCGAGAATCGAAATAACTTCTGCGGAAAATTTTTGTCTTAAACCGGAATATTTTCGAGATCATCGGCCGGTCGGTCTTTCATTGCCACTACAAGATCGAATTCTTGTAGAAATAAATGAACATTATAATGATGCAAAAAAATAATATTTCGAATTTAAAATGCGTTGTTTAGGGATTCCATTTGCGAGACAATGCACACTATGCCCTGCTGGTACGTACAGTGGAAAAGGGGCGAAAAGCTGTACGCCATGTCCAGCTGGATATTTCAGCACGAAAGGATCATCGCAATGTGGCAGATGCCCAATTTCACAATTTTCAGGTCTGAAAATACAAATAAATAGACGTGAATGAAATAAGTCAATAGTAAATAAATTGTCAAATAATTTGATAGTATCGCAAACGTTTCTGGAAAAATATGATTAAATTCTCCAATTCACTCTTGCAATAGCAACAGAATGCATAGTGTGATATTCTTCGATCATGCTTCTATCAGTCAAAATGAATTCAACGTGAATCTTTCACGATCTCACGAATTGAAATGATCTCATGGTTTTTCGAAGCGTCTCATGAACTGGACAAAAGGTGATTTGAACATGCATTATGCTCATAACATATGACAAAAATGTTTCATTATTGATGCTTCAACTTTTCGTAAATGATAACAATGTTTTGTCAGGTCCCAGAGCAGCCCGATGTTTAGATCGGCCGAAATGTACTGAGAATGATTATTATCCCACAATCGAGCCTTGCGTTAATGGCAAAACAAAAACAGTTTACAAGAAAGTGCAGCCAAATGTCTGTCGAGATGACATTCCAGGTTCCATTAAGGCGAGTTTTCAATTAAATTGTTGTTTGTATTCGTTTGAAACCACCAAATTGTCATATGCAGTCAATTTCAGGCATGTCATACAATTGTTCTACACATTCCTGAATGAACCCTTGTTCTTAACTCCTTCAAAAATGGATACTTTTTTCCTGCAGAAACAGAAACCAAAAATATCACTTCACTCCACGAAAGGAAATTTACGTAATATACCATAATATACAAAGTTGAACAGCTCTTGTTTCATACTCAGAATTAATTATCATCCAGTAACAACATAATTTTATCCGTTATATCTGTTCAATCTCTTTTAGACAGTATTAACTTTGCTTTCCTTGTATTCTGATCAAATTTGATTGAGGACTGAAATTTTCGGTGCAGTGAAATTTTTTTCGGTAAACTTTCGACACCTTCGGCATAGTTTCTCCTGAAAAACTATTATATTGTACCTGCACTTGTTTCGAATCGTGTTAGTGTGTTGGCTTCTACTGCTTCTTGAAGCAGTGCAATCCAGGTGCTAACGATGCGATGTGCAAAGAAATGGGACAGGTTGTTGGTATGTGCTAGACATGACTGCTACTGCTCGACGATCCTTCACTATTTAACCTATCCCAAGTGTACATTCTCATCCCTGCAAGTCAGCATTCTCAGTGGAATTCTTCCGCTGTTTGAGCCTTCGCAATTCAAAATGAACCTGCCTCAACATCCTGCTTAGATTAAGGATTATGTCTGAACTCTTGTTCAACTTCGAAGAAAGTTTCAGCAATACGTAGGTCACATGTTGAGCACTGCTAAAATTCTTGTAACTCTCAATTCTATCATGGCGCTCTGAAATTACACTCCAGTTGGGAACTTTCTGTTTCTTTTGGAAACTCTAAGGCGATGAGAGATTGATTAAGAGATTAAAATATTTAGTTGCTCTTATCTCACGATGTTGTATAATGGCATGAAAGGTTGCGAAAAGGGTTCGCTTAAGATGAAGATGCGTTCTCCACAGAAGAAGATGGAGAGTCTCAGATTGAAAGAAGAATCTCCCTGAATGAAACAGAGTGCCTGAAGAGCGGGATTAGGATCACTGATCACTGGTTGTTTAGAGGGGGATGCATGAACAACACTGCATTAGCAAAATGTCTACCCTTTACTGAAATTGAGCGCACTACTCCTGGGCCAGGTTAAGACTAGAGAAGGGTAAAGCGTTCACCCTCAGTTGAGGGTAAACTGTTACCCAAACCCGGGCATCTTGAACCGAAAACGGACACCTTGCCCAGGGTTTTCACTCTCAGCTGAGCGTAAAAGTGTCTCTTTAAGTTCTTACGACAAAGGTTTCAATGAAGGATGTTGCGAAGTCTGGACTTCGCGCCTCCACTTGCTTCTATTGAGCAGATGCGCAATCAAAAATACTGTTCGTTTATGTACACTTTCTAAAGGTGATATTTACGCCGTATTTAATGATCAAATCGTAAACGTTCATTTGTTATGCTAATCAAGTTAATATCTCTGATAAATTAAATCTGATGTTCATCTTAATATTTGTTTTCACTAAATCTTGTGTCAAGTACAGAATGCCTCGTTCTTATCTCCGCTCATCAAAGTTCTTAGTAAAACCATTTACGTAAATGCGTGACGACAGTTCGAAAATCGACGACCTTTACTGTCATAGAGTAAAAATATTCAGCGTGTGGTAGAATGCGCAGTGGAGACTTAATGTAGTTTTCAGTTTTCAATGATAATCCAACAATAATATTTGGTCAACTTGGCCCACAGCGTCTGCATATAGTATTCAATCTTCGACGAATAATAGCATTTATGAATCACGATAACAATAACTTCACAATAACAATTATATCACAATATCACTATGATTGACTTGACGTTGACAATATCGAGCATACGTTCTCTATTATGAATACGAATCGCGACCGCGATCCTCCGTCTTCCATCCTTAAATACCTGCTTCTCGCATCTGTCCTGGAATTCATTGAATATGATTTCCCATAACATTTTTTTGTCGTTTAGCCATCACTCATGGGAATCTTTTGCCTGTAAGATTTGAATTAAAGATATTAAGTACTTTGTTTGGGTTATACTTCAAATTCTTGGGATTCAGATTTTATGTTTTGAGAATGAGGTGCTTGACTTGGTTACAATAGGAACAAAATGTTTCTGGTTACCTCAGTAACATGAAAAGAAGATAGCATTTCTAATCACTGTGCAGAGCTATTTCTGTGGACTGTAACTTGGCCTAAACTTTCGGTGATAAATTCAAACGATTTCTTCAGCGGAGAGAAGAACAAATTTACGTTATTGTCATTCCAGAATTTTCTTCATTTTCTCATGTTGTTCATGTGCATTGTTTATTTTTCGTATGATTCAATGAAAAATCATTGTTAAAATCGCATTGTGGCTTCGCGGTTATCTCTGTTCTATCCTAAACATTGCTTATTTCGATGCTTTTCTAATACAAATTCCTGTTTTCAAGATCCTACTGAGTCCAGTTCTAACCTTATATTTCTAAGGGAAATTCGGAACTTGGGGCGGGGACGAGATTGAGTTTTTTTTTTCGAACTTTCCCGTCCTCGATTTTTTCTCTTCCTCGAAACATAATAGACTACAATAGACTATAATCTTTCGCACAACCACATCACTGATCATGGCACATCACTTAGTAGGTCAAATTCACCTCAGATTGTGAGCACATCAAGTGAAATGAGAGCAGTGATAAATGTGAGGATGTCATTGAACGCTATTGATAATGAATGAGAAATAGTTTGAAAATTCTCCTGAAGAATGAGATGAGGGCAGCATCTCAAAAAAGGGGCAATCATGAACAAAATGTTAGCATAGTACATTCATGGGAATTTGCATGAAAGTGGAATCCACTGGCAGATACTATAAACTGGATTTTTTTCAATTTATAGTCTTGAAGCGCCATGTTCCAATGAAGTTTCCCATTAGCGTTTGGATTTATCAATTACAGATGCCAAAATCTGAAGAGGAGAGAATCTGTCCGAAGTGTAATCCGGGAATGAGCCTCGATTCAAATGGACAATGTGTTTTTTGTGCGAAAGATCATTTCTCGACGGGAAACGGCACGTTTCTTGATTATGTTTCCATCTGTTTTTATGTAGAATAGAGAAAAATTTATCCCATTCTCAAGGAGTCATGTTCATTCAAATTCTAGAGTGTAAACGCTGTCCAGTGGATACAATTCCTAATTACGGTTTTCAATATGTGCTTTGGAACACGTTACCACCGAACATGGCGACCAAATGTGAATATCTCACCGAAGGTAAGTGCTGATAACGATTTCTAAATTCGATTAAAAGAACATGAGAGAACGGCGTTCGCCGGCAATAAGTGAAACTGAGCCGTTCTTATCATAACTGGTTCAAATATTTGTAGGTTGAGCACGGTTATTGCACAGCTCAACTAATGCATTATCATTTCATTATCATAGCATCAGTGATGAGTCATGATTCAGATTCAACAACTTTATGCAATATCGGAGAGTCATGGCTACCGGCCGGCAGCATGATTCATAGTTCACCTACTCATGAGCGTGGTATTGCGCTCGAATTACTACTATATGTTCATAAAGGCTTCTCGAACCCGCTTCTTCCCAAAGGTTTCAAGCCATCTGCACAAAATCCAGTCGCACACATCACATTCGAATTTGAAACGTCATGCGCTGATTCTAGCTGTGTTCTTTATTTTGTCGAGGTGATCATGTCTTGCTCATTTTATACAATCTATGACCAATCTTTTATTTTGAAATAACAACGTATAAGCCTTCTGCTCACTCATCTTTGAATCACCTGGTATTCTTTTATCAATCTAAAGATGAATTAAGTCACAGCTGGGTGTGACGTTAGTCTTGAGCTTAACTCTAAGCCGAACTCCAACGCCGTAACCTTCGAGCAATGAGACAAAGGTGTCATCAAAAGTCGTTTCACGAATAGTCTGAAACTGATTGAATTCCCAATATATTGCATGTGAATGCTGCAAATCATTTATTCGACTTCAGGACTCTTCGTCGCAGTCTTTTTATAAACTTATTGCTGATTTCAACGGCACTCAGTCACGACGTTCGTATGCACACGCACTTATATCGCCTCAACCAGTCAAATTTCTTTTTGCTTTTATGAGGTTAAAGACTATTTTATTAGTTCTCGTTGATGCTTACTGCAAGCTGTTGAAATATTGTGCATGGGTTTGTGTAACCGTGCTAAAACTATATTTTATAGAGATTTTTAGAATGTGGAATAGGAATTTGAATGAACATAATCTTCGTGTTCCTTTCCATCTCCGATTAAGACTGAAAACTTAGTTTCTTAGAATTTCATGCTCATCGCCGATCTTCGATCATCTTATTTTACATTTTCAGTTTGAATAAAATGATCGATTTCGATCAGCAATTCTTCGCCAACTGATCAATTCAACGTTGACCACTACATCTCTCTCCATCAATCCATTAAAGCTGAACTGATTTCTGTGGCCATTGGCCTAACCGAATGCTTTAATTTCAGATCAAGAAGCTCATCACAAGATGATGTTATCACAGATCGAGCTGTTATTTACACCATCAATGTGACAAATGTTGGTGAACACGATGGAGGCGCTTCCGCGTGTCTTCCGTGTCCTACATCCAATGGAAAATGTGTAGCATGTCCACCGGGAAGATATATTTCAGAAACTGTAAGTGTAAAAATTTTGTAAGAATTACAGTGAATGTTCCGTTAATGCTGAATCGAACATTGGTTAAGCGGTAATCACTTCATAATTTCATTTGAAGTAATACATCTTAATTTATCTACTCTAGTTAATATAAAACATTGATAACTGATGTGTTGTCTTTGCATTAATTAAATCTCACTGAATAACAGGTGTTGCTTACATCTTGATACTTAGACTTCATAGGGTGTATTTGTTGAGAAAATTATTTTCATGGAAGGCGGTTCAGGTACTGAAAAAGCGAAAGAGAACTGCACATGTACATTCTACTTTTTCTGATATCGAAGTAGATCACTGTTTTGCAGGAGCCTATTCTGAGACAAAGCCTATTCTTAGGCAAAGATTGCGAAGTTTAGTTACTTCATAATTCGTTAAAATAGAAGATAAAAATGATAGATTGCGTTGAAGGGTAGGAATTGTCGTAGATGTCCTCGAGGTACCATGCTGAATACGTCAAGTGATCGTGTCGGAGAGAAAAGTTGTGTGCGATGTGGTCCAAATTTGGATTCACTCGATGGTGTCAGATGTTCATCAAATGGAGTCGTCACTATTCAAACCGCAGACAATCGAACCAGTACATTCGATTTTACAACATTCCTTAATAAGTAATCCACCCTTCTCTCGTGCTTTCAACTAGCAGCTAATGAAGGCTATCTTCTATCATCCCTCCAAGATACAACAATTTTCGGTCGTGTTCGAACAAAATTTCTCTTTCTTAAGATGCGAGCGAAACGGATGCGTTGCAAAGAATGGGAAGAAGTTTAACATTAGAATGATTCCTGGCTTTGAGTGCTAACGACAGCAATAAGTTATGACAATGCGTTCGATTTTACAGCAGTTTAGCGTAAACATAAATACTTAACTTAATTTGACTTGAATATAGTTGCAGTTTAACTGAGTCACAATCATAGATACTTCCTCACTGAAATGGAGACTGATTCACAAATTTCCGATATCTTCTTTTTTTGGCATGATCGTATAGCAGAAAGCAGTTGAAAAGTGAGCATTTACAGAACGCTTATTGCGACCGGCGTGAAGGTATTTGCTAGAGAGGGAACTTCATATTTTCATTCGTTCAATATTTCCATATTAACTGAAGGCGCAGCAACCTGTACTGAAACCTACGATGTTTCCGATTTTGGACAAGCGGCTGCACTTGTTGCTGAGGTTCATTTCTTTTTAAAAATACTCCACCTGTTGCTCTTTAAGACATGCTTTTGATAAAGCTATTTCACGTTCAACTTTTCACTAGTAACCTATGAAACTTTCATAATGCACATCTCTGAAAGTATATCAGATTTGCGAACGGTCACCAAAGGTCATATTCAACATATCTCGAATCATCCTCTCAATTATTTCAGTCTCGTGAAACCGTCGAAGCATTTGTGTGTCGATCGACCGCACTTCCAATACACGCCTCTATCAATTCATCCGAGAAAATTATTTATGTCTCTCCGTTACTGTGAGTTCCTTCCTATAACGATTGAATGTTTTACCGTCGCGTGTACAGCTCATCAACGTCGAACAACCATGGGAAAATCACCGATGAAAATACTTAATTATAGGTTCATCATCGACTCTGATCAAATCAACTGAAAGATTTTGAATATAATATTCCCTCGTTCGATCATTCGTCACTGGAACCGATTTTTCGACACTTGAACTCATATTAGAAGTTCACTTAAGCACTTTCAGGTTAGGGAACAAGTTACTAGCCATAACCATGGAGAAAGAGTTCGATGGCGTGAAGTTGGGTGAGAAAGAGCTCGATTATGGTGGGTTTTGGAGTTTCACTATCGTCACTTGTTGCAAACGTTTGCGTAATTGTTGCTATGAATATCCTGATTGGAAAAGATGAATAAGTCGAACCTCTGCAAACATTCAGTATTCGAACTGATTCATTTTTGAGAATGCTTTTGAGAATTGAGAAATTAGTGTTATAAATCAGGGTTTCTCAACCGGGAGTATGAGATGATATTCCAGAGGGTCTGAAATAAGATTCCATTTTTTATGCAATAAAGTAGGCGAGGACGAAGTTCAACCCATACATGTGTGTAGAGCAAGCGAGGGTGGACTTTAGCGTATATATTTTTGAAAAGGCTAGAACGTACTCCAATAGTATACCCCTATCTACACTACAGACACTCGCTGCAGTGGATAACAGATACACAGTGGATATTGTGAGCGGTACGAGGACATCTTAACCGTTGCTGTAGGGGATGCGAGCACACCTTAAAATTTTTTGGGGGTACGGGCGGGAAAAAAGATTGATAAATACTGTTATAGATGATAACAGTTTGATATAAACTGAAAAAATTTGCAGGTGGGAATGATGAAGCCACTCGGCTTCCAGATGTCCACTTCTTTTATGGTTCAACATCAGCTGCATCCTCGGAGTTATGTCCGACTGGTTTTCATGCCATTGTAACAGCAAGATGTGATCCTACAAGAACCAACTTACCTGAAGTAAATATGATTAGATGCAATGTCAAGTTTACGTAGACTAGTCATTGTTTCTGCGTCCGTCTGCTGCTTACTCACTTGGGAAATCAAATTTCATCGCAGGATTGTTCGTTTGTTTGTGATAAATGAATTGTGCCTAAACGATTCCCTTCAGGCTCGTCTTCCAAGCAGCTGCCCGGATGGTACATGCGATGGATGCTTGTATCATGTGATAGTTCTCACATCGCAAGCATGTCCCATTTGTACTCCGCATGATTACACTGTTATACGTGGGGAATGTGTTGATGGAAAGCTCACAGTTCACAGCATTCCGTCCAGGTAAATTATTCGTGCGTAGCTGTTATATCTGCAGATGAACAGCTGAGACAATGTCATCTTCATTTCACTCGAAAATTTTCATCTGACTTACCAGGGTATATTTAGCTTATATCTAAGATATATACATGAATATATTCACTACATTCGAACACTCAGTGAGAAAATGAATGAGAAACAATTATTCTTTATTTCATTTCCATCGAAACGCAAACGAAACCTTTCAGAATCAGTTTAACAATGTTTCACTTTGCTATATATGTAGTGTAATCCAGATGAGAACAATACTGAACTTGCAGACACTGCGTTCTATCGGGTGCAGAGAGTAGGGAACGCACCGAACCGTGCACTTCACTAACAGTGCACATGCAGATGCTCATTTTAGCTACAATCACTCTGGCAATAACGTTATGCATAATCGTTATTCTTGTGTGCCAGAAGAATAAACGGTAATCGTTCCACTTCCAAATTCCTTTATGCTCATGTTAACATCCAACAGTCACATACAAAAGTTAATTCTGAATAAATAAGCGACTAACGCTTAAATGAGAAACTTACGGCATGGAACTAATATAATATCCCGAGAGCTCATTATGATTCACTCTTACAATTAGATTATTGCACTCATATCGTCTGAATGTAAAGGTACATATAGTCTGAACAGAATAGTCTCGAATGAGGTCAGGTCGACGATAGAATCGGTCTCAGAAGCTTATGAGGATAGGGAATAGAGTTGGGGGCCCCCTATTTAGCCATACTCTCGAATACTTCAGAGTACACTAAACATTTAAGAAAGAATTGACGAACAGGTGTGGAATATTTCGTCCTTCCTTCTGCAATGAGAAGTTCGATCACCTGCTTGCCATTGCATTGAAATTGCTGAAAACTTTAGCGCGTTACAGAACACGAAAGTACACATCAGAACAAAAAAGCGATTTGCGATCTGTGTGCCAAAGAAAGACAGAAATATGTGATACGATAATTCATGTGGCGATATCACAGAAGGAACCCTTTTAAGTAGCACGTCTCATCATTGCATTCAAAATTCGGAAACTTCTAATTCATTTGCCAAACTTCTAATTCGTGTCGGAACGAGTGCAAAATGACAAGCGGACTTGCGAAATGTTGAGTTGAAATGTGTGCTAGAGAGATAGCATGAGGTAGATGAATAGCTCGTTCGTTTTTTCTCATGCAGAATTCCGGCAAAGCTTACTATTACTAACAATAAGTTGGTTTGTCTGAAACTTGTAATGCGTTTAAAACTGTGAATTCTTTGTCAGAAAAATTGTACAATAGTTAACGAATTTGTGAAAATCTCGCAGTAGTGTACTTTTGAAGAAAAGAAACGTTCGGCTGGAATATCTGTCCACTCTATATTCACCCCTTCCCTGATCCCATTAAAATTCATCATCTTTACGAGCAATAATCATGTCAAAAGCTTATGATTTTTTCATCTATGCGACAAACTTCATGAATAGTATTACCTGCAGCAGCTAAACAGTACTCGAAGTGCTGATATTGAATTAGAAACGAATGAATAGACGTGCTTTCAGTTTTAGAGGTGAGCCAAATAAATTGGGAACATCAACTCAATTTTTGGCGTGTATTCAAGTATGGGGCTGTCGCGCAAGTAAATAATAAATTTGACAAGGAAAAAAGATAATAATGTGCGGCATTGCTTTTAGCCTGGAATATAAATACATGAGGTTAGTGGAATCGAAGGGAACTTCCAATGGTCTCGAACTTCCTGGCGCTGAATCATGTGGTATTGAAGACGGCGACGATGACGAAGAGGTTGAATTTTAAGTATATTTTAATCAGTGAGATATAGCTATACTAATAATGAGAGGCGAAAGGTTTGCTGGTTGCATTCATGCTCATTTGAGAACGAATCAAATCGCTCACAATGTTTCCAATAGTTTTACCGTATTTTATAATAATCCAGGTTTTGATGGGATTTTGCGCCGTAAAAATTGACTGTTGCCTTTCTTAATCAGTTGTATGTGGCTGTTTAGATAAATTTCATCTGTTTTCCGCTCAATACGGTTGTGAATTTTCCAAAAGAATGCCTCTTAAGACAAGTTTCGTCTGTATATCCGTAATGAATTGAATTTCATTTTCAGGTTCATGATCGTGTATTCTTTGCAAAAGGTAAAAAGCGTCTCTTTGGTGGAATTAGTAAAAATCGTCGTGAAGGTGAAGAACATAATGAAACTGAACGACGAGCGTTCGTTTCACTGGAAGAAACTGAATGACTACGATAATTACCAACTAAATAGCTGGTTTATATCACAGTTGTGCATATCGTTCGGAATGCGATGAAGTGATTTCATCGGGATTATCGATGGTTTTCTTTTTGGTAGTAGTTTTCGTCTTGATTGATCATCCGATTCGTTGATGATTATTCATCTTTATATTTGGATATAGTGTCATTCAATCATTCTTTTTATTCCATATATGCCTTCTTTTTTTCACATAGCGTCAACGCAACTGTACTCTTTCGAAATGGCATTCTATTTCACTAGAAAATACAGGCCACACGCATGGTATTATTCTATTATTGATGCCTGTCCAACAACTATACTATTATATCTAACTCTCTTCAGTATAAATAATTTCAGTGTCAATTATATTATGTTTAGTATCAAATAAAGCGTAAACAGAAATCGGTAATCACTACTGGAAATTCCATCGGAACATTGGAAACTGAACCGAAAGTGATTGTTTGGGTCGAGGACGCTCAACAGATAGCCATACATTGCTGACCTATATGATAAAGTAAATGAATATAGAACGAAACGCCTGTCTTCGTTATTTTACTATGAGACGTTTATTGTTACCATTAATACCGGATGACCCATTCCAGAGAACTTTTTGGCATTAATTCAGACGCACGATCAGAGTATACAACATACCAAATCATAGCTTTCTATTCTCTCCCGATCGAATGCAGCCCACTCTGTTATGTTTATCACTATCGTCTGCTTTTGCACAATCCAGTTCTAACAACCATTTCTTCTTTTGTTGCGTGTGTGTTCTATTCAATACCCTATTCGTCTTCCTCCTTAATCGACTCATATTGTATCCATCGTTGTTATCATCTTCATCACTTCCATTCATTTTGTTATACACGTTGAATTCGTAAGATTTTCTAATCAACCGTTGATTACGTCACAACGTTTTTTTCGCTTCAACATATCGCCTGTTTAATCTGATGATAAATAATTATTTGATGCTTTCGGTTCGTTTATTTAAGTTGCCTTGTATATCTGTCTAATAAAAATTTTATCTTTTATCAACTGCCTCAATGTTATTGCATATTTCAAGGGACGTTTGGCGGATGCATGTATGGAACACCAAAGTGCCCGAACGCATCCATAACCGAAACATTCTATGAGATATACGATGAATTATTTAGTTATTCCATAAAGATCAGTCATCATGAAGTGGTATATCAATTGAGTCAAAATTGGAAATACCACTTGTTGAACGATGAGCTGAGTTTTTTTGTCATTTTAGTGAACTGAATAATTACTAGATAGCTGCTGTTTACCAATCAAAATTAATGTTTAATTATGGAGATAAGACAAACTTCAGAAGCGATCACAAATACTGCATGATTCGAGCGAATCATTAATTGCTAAAACAACAATCACGCTGGTGTGACTTTAATTGATATTGCAGAGATTAGCCTTGTTATTGTTGCTTCTTCGCAAATACAACCACAATGTCATTATTAAAAGCCGTATCAAACTTGATGGAATGATCACACCTAACGCACTGTTTTATGCATATCTCATAATCAACATCAATGAAATAGCGCTAGATCAATCCTACACTATTCTATAACCTAATGGAAAGGATGGGAAACGCTGTAATCGAAACGTACCTTCCTTCCAAAATTTCCATTTATAATAAGTGAGATTTGAGTGGTTGCATATTGGTATACATTGAATTGTTTCATAATTAAAAATTTTCCATAATGAACAAACATAAGACTGGATTCTACGAACATTCTCATTTAATCGTTCTTTAACAGCTGAATGCTGCCATGACAGTTTGTTTCTCTGGTCAATTATTCAAACAGCTGTTAACTATTTTATTTAGGAATGTATCACATTGTTTCATCAAATTTATTGGTTATTTACTTAATGAAATGCGGTTTGCCATCTTCGAGCCTACCGTCTCC